TCAGAAAGCACTGTAAATAAAGGGTTGTCCATTCGTTTATTTCCTGGACGGGTTTGGACGTCTTTTCTCTGACTGGGCATCTATTCCTGAGTGAAACAAAACATTTACAACTGCACAATTATTTTCTGGAATGGATTTAAATGGAATTTTGAAATGTTTTTTTCGTTTTTTTTTTTAAGAAAATGTCTTACCACAACAGTGTTACGTAACCGACGAGCCGGATACAGACTGGCAATTTTTCGCCATCTTTTAACTTTGTGTTGTGCACTGCCGGTGAACTCAGGTCTTCCGTTGTAGCTAAAACACCCAAACTCATAATGAAACCACAAAATACGGTAGCCCTGGCCAGTGCTGTGCAGAATATGTCTGGGAAGAAAAAATAAAAGCAGAAACTGACTCTTACCAGGCCGAGAACGAAATCCAGTCACCAATGTGCAAACTTTTCCATCGGTTGCAGCTACATTCACCAAACGATGCCGATACAAAAGCGCAGCCTGGCGTTTCACTGCAAACTACACCAACAGCATCGCGAATTTCACAAATTTCAGCGTTGTCCTGAAGTGAAAATCATTGCATGTCCATCGATTTGGTATCCATTCGACAGACCAATAATCAGTTATTATAACACAAGCAAAGGTGTACGAAAAGCGAGACGTCTCGACTTGCCAAGCAGTGCTGCAGCAGCACAAAGCACAGAAAATACTTCGCTAGGCCGGTGCTACCTCTAGACTCAATAAAGCACACAAAAATCACATCTTATAAAGAAATGACCTCAACATTCTGCGCCCCTTCGAACAACAGTATGAGAATACAGGATTGCGCAAGAAACTTGGCGCAACCGTAATTGTAGTTCGCTGTCGCGGAATGAATTCATCAACTATTCCAAGTCGCTAAAAATCGAGACTGACTCCTCGGCGGCCCCGAAATACGATGAGAATCCAGCCGGATAAAATGTTTCTTCCGAACGGAACAAAGATGGGATGTTTGCAAAATCGGTGCTGCCAGTAATTTTGAATGTGTCCCAGAAATTATGTTTTACTGATTTTTTGCTTCCCGCAAGACGAATATGCTTTCTGGGCAAGATTTCTGATAAGAAACTCAAAACAGTTCAGTCTCTCATACAACTACTGAAAGGGGGTAGAGAAGGCAGTCGCGTCCTTTCGAACAGATCTCAAATCGCGCAACTTATAAAAGCTGATACCCAGCGAAAAATGACGAGTCTGTAGTGTGGCGATCCTGGGGAATGTACTGCTTGGACAGGAGCTAATATTCAATAATGTAAAACACAACAAAGAAGTACTGGGACAGAGTTGCGAGAATCGTCTGGGGGAGTGGTAGCTATTGTGGCACTTTCCACGATCCAATGTTCGTTATTGTTGTTCAGTTCCAACGTATACCAACTACCAACCACCGGAACTGTATTGAATCTGTAACATCACAGATAGATAAGCGTCCGAAAGAAGAAAGCAAATATTTCAGAAAACTTCAAAATTTAATCGGTTTTGCATAACGTTCCTATTTTTTGGTTGATATTTGGGCAGTTTTCCAATGTAAGACCTTAAGCCTTCGCGTCACATACTCCCAGAAGAAAACCGACTAAACAGTGACGGTAAATACTTTAAGTCAAGTACAACCCAGACGGGCCGGTGTGATCATGCGTTTTTGTACTATTTCGTGATACAGCAAGAAAGCAAGGAATCACAGTAGTAGCTAGAATTTGTGACATACTGGCCTCCGAAGTTGAAGAAGTTAATTGTACAGCTATGTGGTATGTCAGCTGTAGATGTCGGCTTTAGTGGGGTCTTTGGCAACTTTCCGATAAATGGAAAGTCGCTGCTGCACGAAAAAGACCCCACTAGAAGAAATGGATATGAAATCCTTTAGTCGCACATAAATGGGGAGCATTGCCTTAAAATTCCAGTCTTCCAGCTTTTCTCGCTCCCAAGTTGGCAACTTTCCAGCCAAAACTTTCAAATGTCTGTACGTGAGACACGGGCGTTCTAGGGGACTGAATTTGAAACCTTTTGGTCGTACATCTTGGGCCATTCTATACAGGACTCTCGGCTCAGCTGTTATACGTTGTCTTTACCCTGTACATGAACAATCTTCTCCAAATTCTTCCGAGTGTTTGTCCCATTCTGTGACAAGCAGTGCACAGCTTATCTTCGAAGGCAATTCCTTGCAAAACTCATCAAACTCGAGGATTAGGTTTTTTCCTCACCGCTCTGCTTTAAAAATGTCTTTCTGAGGCGTTAGTAATCAACTGTAGATTTGCACTATCACCAGCAGTCGTGCGATTAACGAAATCATGCCAAGTAATGTACATATCCTTCAGGAACAAAGAAAAATTCTTTAAAACAAACAAACTCACTTGACAAAAGAGTAAAAACACTTACATTCCTAAACTGGCCCATCGTTCCTCGCCCGTTTCAAAATTAGCACCCGGAATGCGAATGTAAGCCAGCGACTCCCGGGTAACCACTCGTCGAACAACTCCAGTACACTCAACTGCCTTAAATTTAGTCCAGTCTGTTTCCACTATTGCAGAAGATACGGATCATTGTCCTCACCCACGGCTAATAAAAAAATAAATGGCAACGCGTACCAGACTAGCCGGTGCGGTCATGCGTTTTGTGCAATTCAGCCCATCGAACGATTGCCTGTTAATG